TATTTTTAGTTTTCACGTTTTAGGGACATTCTGTTCCAATTCTTGCTGACACTAGTTGCAATGTGCGTTCAGCAGACAGCACTCCCTGATTTCGAGGGAACGTGTCACTTCGCTTTTGGGGAAAAGAAAACGCTGAATTTTTGAGGACAGAAAATGCCTGGCACTGTCAGGAGTRGCAGCTAGCTGAATGGAAGCAGATAGAAAGCTGCCACATGCTGCCACACTCTGCTTTTAAAATGACAAGCCTTTGCATGGCACAGTCCACTTCTGGACGTGAGCTGCCATCCAGCAGCTTCGAGACTAATGATAATGTTTTAGAAGCACTTTCCAGCATAATGAAGATGTATCTTTGTGCTCAGTTGGTGCTGTCTGAACTTCATCAATGTTTCAAATCAGCTAATCCTGCTCCAGGAGCCCGGCTCTGAAAAGGAATAAAGAAAAGGAAGAGCATCAATCTTTTTCTGCCGAGTGGCACATAGTGAAAGAGCCACGGTACAAATGACAGCCTCATTTTAGCACTCAGCTGAGATGGGCCAGGCAGATGATTGGTGTTCAGACAGGGTCGTCTGCTCTGCTCTTTTGTCACAGCTGTATGGATAAATGTCATCGTCAGCCCTCAGGCAGGAGCTCAGGGGCTTGATGTTGCTCCTTTGGGGAGTGATACTATCTGACAATGTTCTTTTTTTATCTCCAAACCACCAGCCTTTCCTCTCTCACAGATTTTTTTTTTCGGCCCTTAAATCAGTAGTGAATCCCAAAGTAGCCGACTTTCTTCAGGTCTCTCCTCCCAGAGGACCAGAGGAAGCTGGCGTCTGTCTTTGTTATCTCTGTAAAGTTGGATTCTGAGGTTAATTTGACCTCCTGTGAGACTCGATGTATGTGTGAGCCCTGCAGTGGTTTGTTAGCTGCAGCTGCAATTGTGCTTCTTGTCGCACTAACTGGAGGTAACGGTTTCTATAGTTTACACAAGCTTTTCCATTCTCACAGCTCCAGTCCAATGTCGAACTGAGCTTCTGCTCATTTCAGCTGCTAAACAAAAGGGCTTCAAACTACAAACTGTTCTGGGAACTTCCTGCAAAGAACAAACAATTAAAAAGCTTGATTGTGAAACCTTTTTTTAATTCAAATTTAGGTTCAAGTACTATTCAGCTCTAAAAATATTGTCAAACCTTACTAACAAATGCTAAAACTAAAACAAACTCCATAAATATCTAACACTGCCCGTCACGCCAAAGTTTCAAATTAAGATCTTCTGATGAGAAATGATGCGGGACAGAATTCTACAACATCACAGAATCTCATGCTGTTAGCCTGACCCCAGATTTACACTACATGTGTTTCGGCTCCTCACCGCTGCGGTGCACACGTCGCAGCTGTTCGTTTGTGTCTCAATTTATACAGACTCCGCTCCGCTCCAGTTTGACAGAGGAGATTGCACGATAAGTTCAGTGATAAATATGGAAGTCACAGCAAAAAATAATTAATTCTGTAAAAGACGAACTCCAAACCCAGCTGAAAACATTGAAATGAAGGCTTTTGATATTTATGGTTGAAACTGTCTCGCTTTCATCTTTCTGAAACTTCTGATTTCAAAATAAAATCCACGTGTATCGTGTGTGTACACATATGCTTCATACTACATGTTTCCATCTGCTTCCCAAACAGAACAAAACATTCTGACAGCATTTGTGAAGAAATATATCCATATATTTATTAAAATAGCCGCAATTTTGACATTATTCCGACAAATTATTCCACCAAATAGTGTCTTATTTTGAAAATACGGATGCTGTGCTTGTTTCTTTTCCTGTTGGTGTGACGTAATCTTTAAAAAATTGTCYCCGGCGCTGCTCCGGCATCTGTCAAAAATAGGATCTGTTTTAATTTTGACGGATTGCCGTCCGCTCAACGCCGTCCAGCGCCGCCGCAGCCAGTGTAAACACTCTCATTGATTATAATGGGGGCGTATTTGCTGTGGAGGTCGGACCGGAGAGGAGCGGCGCTGGAACGCATATTGTGTAAATTGAGGGGTTAGTTCTCACTCAGTGAAGCTCTTTTCAAATTAAAAATACCTTTGAGGAAATGTATTTTCAGATGCCAAGTAAACTGCATCATGGCAGCAGCATGGTGGTCCACAGTCCTGCAGGTTTTAGATGGTTCCTGCTTCAACACACCTGACTGAAATTAAGCAGTGATTGACAAGCTGCTGCTAAATTTGATGTGTTCTGTGAGTCATTTAATTGTTGGAATCAGGTGTGCTGCCGCAGGGAAACAACTGAAGCAAGGACTGTGGACCGAGGACAGGGCTGAAGACCTCTGCTTTAAATGCTTTTAATGTAAAGCAAGTTGCAGCTACAGACCACCATGGATTTTTAAAATCACAAAGTTGTTTAGGAGGATTTTTAAAAATAAAGTGTGCAACTTGTGTTTAGGTTGTGCATTACACATTGCCAGCAAAAGTCATAGCACATTATTTTCAGTCAAGTAGTCTGTTTTACAGTGTTTATTTATTTTTGTTTGTATGGAGTATTTCACAGCTGCAGGAGGAGATGGAAACAGAAAAAAGAAGAATATAACGTGTTATTGTTGGGGGGTGGTTCAGAGCTTAAGGATCAAATACTTTTCTTATCAGTGCGATTTAGTTTTACAAAAGCAATTTTCTGTCAAGGTTTTTTTTTTTAACTTTTACTTTATTTCTTTCAAGCATAGAGGTACTAAATGCCTGATTGTTCAGTTACCTAAGATGGAAGGGAGGCTTCAATTTATCATCAAATTTTGAATTCAAGAGGAGCAGTGGGGCTTCAGTCCTGGTCATGGAACAGTCAACCAGATCTTTACCCTTGCAGAGGGGTCATGGGAGTTTGCCTCTCTGGTCTGCGTGTGTTTTGTGGACCTGGAGAAGGTTTATGACTGTGTTCCTCGAGGCATTCTGGGAGGGGTGCTGCAGAAGTATAGAGTGTCTGAGTTGCTACTAAGAGTGATCCAGTCCCTATATAACCAAAGCCGAAGCTGTGTCCATATTTTTGGCACAAAGTCAAGCTTCTCAGTGTAGGTTGGACTCTACCAGGGCTGTACCTTGTCTCTGGTCCTTTTTGTAGTGTTTATGGACAAGATCTCAAGGTGCAGTGGTGCCGAGGAGGGTGTCTGGTTTAGGAAACACAAAGTCTTGTCTCTGTCATCTGCTGTATGCAGATGATGTAAATTTGGTGTCTTCAGGCCAAGACCTTCAGCGTGCACTGTGGCGGTTCACAGCCGAAAGTGAAGCGGCTGGGATGAAAGTCAGTTTCTCTGAGTCTGAAGCCATGGTTCTCGACTGGAAAAGAGCGGAAAGTCCCCTCCGGGTCGTGGGAGAGTCTTTGCCTCAAGTGGAGGAGTTTAAGATGGGTGTCTTGTTCACGAGTGATGGTAGGATGGAGCGGGAGATGGACAGACAGACTGGGACCTTGTTCTCCGTAATGTGAGCATTGTTTTGGTTAGTGTTAAAGAAAAAGCTGAGTTGAAAGACAAAGCTTTAGATTTTTCTGGTCTGTCTATGTTCCAACCCTCATCTATAGTCATGAGTCATTGATCATGACCGAAAGAAAAACAGATCCTAGATACAAGAGGCTGAAATGAGCTTCCTTTGTAGGGTGGCTCAGTCTTAGAGATCAGGTGAGGAGTTCCATCATCTGGGGGAGCTCCGAGTAGAACCGCTGCACCTTTGCATCGAAAGAAGTCAGTTGAGGTGGTTCATCTGATTAGGATCCTCCGGGATGCCTCCTTTTAGAGGTGTTTCAGGCAAGTCCCACTGGTAGGAGGCCCCCGGGAAGACCTAGGACTCGCTGGAGGAGAAGGAACACCTCAGAGTTGCCCCAGGATGAGCTGGAAAGTGTTGCTGGGGAGAGGGAGGCTTTGGTTTCTCTACTTGACCTGTTGCCTTTGCAACTTGACTATGTATAAGCGAAAGATGGAGATGGAGAGATGGTCTTAGGAGCAGAGGCTGGCAAGAACTGGAAAGCACTAAAAATAATGCAGGAAGGAGAAATCCTCATGTTTTTAGTCTGTAAAATGAGCTGACTTTACTACAGAATTTAATCTTGAAAGGGAGACAACCCATGTTCTACAGACAGAGGCAGATATTACAGCTTTAAGAGATGCCAAGTGAGTTGTTATGTGATAACTTATCTATTGTTGTGAGACTACCACAGTCATCCAAATAATTCACTTTCAGGTCACACAAAGTAAAGATGCATCGACTTTTATATTATTTAAAACTAAACTACATAAAAAATCTGAGCAGCAGAGTCTGACAACAATATTATGGAGATGCAAACACAGTTAAGCAGGAGACATGCTCCAGCAGGTTCAGGTGACCAAGCAGTGATAGAATGGATTCCAAGTGTCTCTGTAATGGACCTGTCCAGGTGTCTCTGTAATGGACCTGTCCAGGTGTCTCTGTAATGGACCTGTCCAGGTGGCCCCACCTCTCTCACAGACTGCTGATAGACACCAGCTTAATCGTGACCCAGGGATGAAAAAACTAGTCAAACAAAATGATAAATGAATAAATGTTTTGTCAGTTTTGTGTTATTTCAGTGAGCCCTGTGAGTTTCCTTCTTTATTAAAACAGTAAATACTAATTGAACAGTCTGTATTTGGAACAGCTTTTCTAAAAAAAAACTAATTTCCTTGTATCTTCCTACTCTCAGGAGTTGTTAACCGACAAGTTGTTCTTCAGTTCGGTGTTTAACCAGTTCTTACTTCAATCTGCAGCAGGGCCTCCTCTCTCTGATGAAGCACCTCCACATCTTCCTCACTAATTTCGGAGAGAAAAGCTTGAGCACCTCCATCTGAATCTGCAGAGTCTGCAAACAGTGGACCCCCATCGTTCTGTTCGTTGGCTGGGGTCTTGGAACTCTGTAGGTGTTGACACACAAACATAAAGACCAACATTAAATTCAGGTATTTTGCGTAGCAGAATCAGTAAACACACTGATTTGAATTGAGCTCAATCCTAAAGTTAATAATTCATAGATGTATGTTCAACTTTAGGAGAGTTTCATAAAATAAATCTAGTGGTTCATGATTTTTTATTATTTTTTTTTTGCTAACAGACAAAATCACAAATGCACACACCTAGTGGCATAAACATCATTGCACTGATTGGCTTTAGGCTGTGGGTGATGACAAACCTCCACCTCAGTATCCTCCAACTTAAACATATTATAAAAACACTTTTTTAGTTTTGAAAGAGAAATTTCATCCAACAAGCTCACACACTTGGAAAGAATTATTGAAAATACCCGTAAATCAGAACTGAATGACTCTTAGCGTTCTATAAAAAAATATTTAATGATGTGATATTTTTCCCAGCGGGGTGTTAGAATTACATACCTGCAGAGAACCTGAACTGCTGCTTTCATCTGCTTTTTTTGTTTTGCTTTGATTTTCAAAAATTGAAAATGGAAGAATGCAAAAAGTAATCTTGCTTCACATTTTAAAAATTTCATGCCTTATTGATTTTGGCTCATATTTTTCTGGCTCAACTATTTTTCCGAGAAGATGACTAATTGTTTGTGTTCCATTGTTTAACAAAGATTGCACAAAAAAACCTTCTGCCCATCCATTCATCCATTTACCCATCCATACATACACACACACATACCCACCCGCACACACACCCATACATAAATATATGTATGTGAGGAGGTGGCTATACTGGTGACAAGAAGCACCACCGAGGGTCACATAATCATCAGGATGGGCTGCCTATTTTGGACTTACTAGTGGTAAACCTCATGCTCCATTGCCTTAAAGCAGAGGGTGTTCACAAGAGGAACGTGTGTGCATCATCCTGTGTTCATGTCAGCATAGAGGACTAATGGTTTATCACTCTGGTAGGTTGTGTCCAGTAATTGTTGGTTAATCATAGTGTCCAGTAATTGTTGGTTAACCATAGTGTCCAGTAATTGTTGGTTAACCATAGTGATCAGTAATTGTTGGTTAACCATAGTGTCCAGTAATTGTTGGTTAACCATTGTGTCCAGTAATTGTTGGTTAACCATAGTGTCCAGTAATTGTTGGTTAACCATAGTGWYCAGTAATTGTTGGTTAACCATAGTGWYCAGTAATTGTTGGTTAACCATWGTGTCCAGTAATTGTTGGTTAACCATWGTGTMCAGTAATTGTTGGTTAACCATAGTGTCCAGTAATTGTTGGTTAACCATCAGGATTCAGAACAGTTCCAGACTCATACAAAATGTTGTGTAGGTCCTTGGAATGGGTTCTTCTTAGTTGAAAACATTTTGTCTCTCCTCCAAGAGACTTCCTCACTCAGAGGTTTCAAATAAACTCAGCCTTATAAGCACTGCCTCCGCATGGTGGACAAACAGGCTTAACAATGACAAATAACACTGTTTGTTCACATGCAAAAGAGGACCATCAGCCTAACAATGGATTGTTAAGGCACTGAATATTCACAGAGGACCATCACCCTGACAATCCCTACTGCTCTAATGTTCACAAAGGTCTGAGTCATTCTTGTAATTACAGCATTGAAAGAGGAGAACAATTGAACCCAGAGGCCTCCACCCGACAAAAAAATGTCTTCACAAAAATGGCTTCCTTTACTCCTCTCTCAAACCAATGTTCCTCTATATCAAGGATGAGAACATCTTCATTATACAAGGGTAACCCTTGACTGTAGATTAGTGTAAACTGCAGACTCCTGGCCTGATGATGTTTTTCTTCTGTGTTGGGCCATCCTTTTGGCCAATGGCTGCTTTGTTAACTCTATGTTTAACTGGTCACGCTCCTCCTGGCACTTAACCGCATACACAACGTTACACTGTTTGTGCCAGGGGACTTGATTTTTGGGGTGAACCAGGCTTTGCCGTAATGTGTTTTGGGGTCTGAAAGCCACTGGGACATGGCATCTTCAAACTATTTAAGACAATAATCATTTGGTCATCATCTACAACTGATTAACTTTTGGAATCAGCCTGAGAAAAGATGGACACCAAGGTCAGTTACTTTAGGAAACAACAATAAAACAAGAACTTGGCCAGTTTTACAAAAATACAGGTACAATTTTCTGTGATGATGAATCACTTCAACACACGCTTCGAGTGCAGTGTCAGACTCAACCCTGTCTGTTTGTTAGTAAAATATGTTATGAAGCACCAGATGGAATTTAATGAAACTCAGCAGGACACATTATCTAAGATAAGAACAACATCAAAACCATCAAATGTAGGAATGAATGTAGAGCGCCGATGTTTCAACGACGTTACGTCAAGGAAAGCTGAAATTAAAACTCCACTCCGTTCATGAAACGTGCAAACAAAAGCAGAACAGCAGACACAGTGAGAGAAAGGTCTACTTGACTTTTTTTGCATTGCTAATGTCTTTTCCATTTGTGCGCCTGATTGCACAGCTAATTCTGGTTGAGGGGCCAGTGCGTGTCAGAGCACAGGGACCAACCTGCGCTGACTCACAGCGCTCTGTCTGCCGCTCGCTCTGACTCACCGCTCAGCTAATTCTGCAGCAGCGTGCACACTCCTCCACTCAGACGCACACCACTCAGGAATATATTAGTATATCACACAGATGGAAATAATGGAGGAAAGTCTCAGATCACTCTTACTGGCACTTTATTGTACAAGTTCACATACTGCTGACAAGTTCAAACGATTGCAATTTTTTTTCTTTTTGATTCTAGCTGATGTCTATTTTAAAATGTTGTGTGGGAAACAATCAATAACATTTACATTGGGCTAAAATAAAATAAAAATTTGAATGCATATGTATGAGACTCCAAATGCCACCTCTTATTGATATCATATAACAGCTGATGACTCTGCTTTGCCCCCAGTAGAAAAAAAAATAAAAACCTCTCCTTCCTGTTGTTATGCTCACATAAAATTTAGTTGGACCAACTTGTGCAGCACAGGTATGATCACGCAGTCAGACTAAATCTGATGGACCAGCCAGCCTTTCACACTCCACCTGATGCCTGCAGACCTTAATAATTTGCCTTCAGAGGGGCATCAAATGATAATTCATGTGGCTCTCCTGCCTGTAAAAGAGATGAATTGTATAGAGGCTCTTTTGTGGGAACAATGGTTCCTCACAGGATCGTTACTTCAAGTTCAAGCAGGAATTGATTGTCCATTCAGTTCAGAATAATGGTAGTTTTTAAGATGACGCCCTTCACTAACCCCACTGAAGATACAGAGGAGCTGAGTGAATACATCACTTTTTTTTTCTTAATGATACAAGAGATTTTATTTAGTTTGCATGCACTCACTGACCACGCTCGCTCATGTAGTTCTCCCTCAGCTAATCAGGTGGGAGCAGAGGGAAGTGATGTTCTTGCAGATTAAACTGAGGACTAAAAGGAAAGTTCTGACTGGGGTTAAATGTGCCAGAGCAACGTTTACGTCAGCATCAAGGAGAGCAACAAATACATGAATATGCTTATTTATTTGTCACTAAAATATAGACTGGTGCATTGTTTCTTTCTTCACTGAATGAATGCACCTTAAACAGAAATCTGAAAAAAAAAGAAAAAAAGAAATTCGGTTTTAATGAGCAGCACTGCAATGTAGCAACAGGTCCAATGTTTGTCCCAATGACTGGAACAAAGATACAAAAAAGACTTTTGGACATAGGGTTTACTGGCTGTGGGTTGGTTTCTAAATTATCTCACTGTCCATAAACAGTGTACACAATGTGGTTGTCAAACCTCCAGTTTTATGGACATTTCTAGAGGGGTTCCACAAGGTCCATTTTAGGACCTATCCTGTTTACTATTTACATTAACAATTTGGGCCATGGTCTTACAGGTACAGCTGTGCATTGTTATGCTGACAATTCAGTAATTTCTTGTCATGCAAAATCAGATTGTCTTGTTTTTGAGCACTTGTAGTCCTTTTTCAACAGTTTTCAGTCTCAACTATTACAACTTAGACTGGTACTGAATGCAAGTAAGACTAGGGCATGTTATTTTCTAACAAGAAGGTGCCCACATTTCTCCCTGCTATCACTAACACACAGGGTGTGCCCATTGATTTTGTAGCATCTAATAAATACTTGGTATCCCCTTAAATGAAAATTTAACTTTTAAGCCCCACATTGAAAATCTGCTTTAAAAACTCAAGTTAAAATTAGGCTTTTTTTTCAACAAGCGTTGTTTTTCAAAATGCTAGAAAACATCTTGTTTCTGCCACTTTTTTAAGTATTTTAGACTATGGGAATATATGAAAGCCTCTGCCAGCTCATTACGTCTGTTGGATTCTATCTATCATGAAGCACTTAGATTTATCACAGGTAGCAAAGCCCTCACCCACCATTGTAGCTTATATTCTTTAGTTAAAAGCCCCTGTCTACGTACTCGCTGACTCTTATGCTACGTTCACACCAAACGCGTTTTGAGCGGCCAAAAAGCGCAAAACGTCTCTCACTGGACGCTCTATAGAACGCACTAGTGTTCAGACCAGAACAAGCAGCGGCAGCAGCGACGTGTGGGAGGAGCGTGTCCTCGGYGGKTGAAATAAAGATAAAGTAAAAGAAAATGGCTTTAATTTTTTTACTAAAAAGCAAGCGAACGTTGCGCACAGCAGATAATTAACTCACCAGATGATTTAGAGGCGATTTGTTCGGTTAGTATCATCACTCCAGAAGCTGCCAGCTGACTGACTTTTTTCTTTTGTTTTTGGTCCCGAGCAGCTGATCCACATTGGTGCTGACA